AACAGTATCCCAGGGAGAGGTGATAATAAGAGCAAAGGTCCTACAGCAAGAAAAGGCTTGGAATTTTTAAAAGCATCAAGAAGGCTCTATGAATATTTATGTTATAGTGTTTAGAGGTAAAGTGTACCGATGTCTGCAACTTACTTTAAAATTCACTAAAAAATAAGATAGAAGATGGATACATACGTGATAAAGCTAATACACTAAAATGTTAAGTGTAGAATTTAGATGGCAGGTCTATACACGTTTACTTTCACCTTTACTTGGTGTTTGAAAAATGTCAGAATCCAGTGTTGGAGGAGTAACATTAAGAAGGCTTGTGAGGGGTGTCTGGGTGGCTCAGTGGTTGAGCATCTGCCTTTGGCTCAGGTCATGATCCTGGGGTCCTAGGATCAAGTCCTGCATCAGGCTCCCTGTGGGGAGCCTGCTTCTCTCTCTGCCAATGTCTCTGCTTCCCTCTGTGTCTCTCATGAATAAATAAATAAAATCTTAAAAAAAAAAAAAAGAAGAAGAAGAAGATGACGAAGGCTCATGAGGCCATGAGGGAGGTAATGAGTGAGGGAGAAAGGTAGGGAGCGAAGCTGCAGAGGCCTCCAGGCCCAGAGCACGAAGGGGCCTCAGCAGCCATGAGAAGACATCTGGGATTGGCTGCAAGCATAGCAGGAAGCCTTCAGAGGGATTTCAACAAAAGAGTTTCATAATCCGATTATGATTTTAAAAGATTCCTCTGACTGCCATGGGGAGACATGGCTCTGCCAAGCACAAATGAAAGCAGGGATGCCTGGTAGAAGGACAGTGGCAGTCTGGACCAGGGCAGTGGCACTGGAGGTGCCAAGACAGGTCCAATTCAGGGGATGCTTCAGAGAATTTGCTGATAGCTTAGACATGTGGTGTTCAAGAGCTACACTTTGGCCTGAGCAAGCGGGCAGACGGTTTTATTTCCCAAGATGGGGGAAGATGAGAGAATTAAGTAAGTTTGGGGAGGGGTGCGTGGGAGAGTAATAAGGAGGAGAATCACGTTTTCTACTTCAGGTATGATAAACCCAAATAAGAGACTTCCTAATAAATAGTGGCTATGATTACTCTTTCTACCACACACGCTTACATAACTGCATCTGCAAACATACATGCCCTCTCTCGGCCTGTAGCTCAGTTCTGCTCCCTCCTCCTCTTTTCTTCTTTTCTCTCCCTTACATTTCCCATTCCTCCTTGTTCCCCCCACTCCTAATTCCAGGCCATCCACAGTGACTGCTGGAGGCTCTAGAGATGTGGAAGGCAGGAACTAGACACCCAGACAGCTCCTCCTGGCAGGAGCAAACCTCTGCTCAGGTCAGCTTCTCCATCAGTGAGGGGAACCAGGCTCAAAGGACACCCTGGGGTGAAACCCTGAGAGCACACAGTCCTCTGGGTTCAGCTCCTGTCTTGCAAACCCTTCAACCTTTTTGTCTCTGTAGCTAGGCCAGCAGACAGGTGTTCAAGCAATGCTATAGCCAACAGCTGGTATAGGATCCAAAGAGGCAGCAGAGATGACAGAGATCTCCCCATTTTCCTGAGAAGGTAACTCTGAATCATGATCTGAGTTAATGTGGCCCATGTAGCTGTGCTGTCATCTTGCATCAACCGTGTCAGAATAACATTTAAACACATTTGTCAGGGAGCCAGCTGGGGAAGGCTGGCCTCGCTGCCTGAGGCCCACACCCTGTAGAAGGCTCTCCCAGGCACTGAGGACTAGGTGCATCTGCAAGCTGCCGCATCTCACAGGAGCACCGGGACGGTCTTCTTGAGCTACTGCTTACAGGAGGGGGGAACCCTAATGTACACAGGGGTGTGGTGGGGATTAATGGGGGAGATGAACAAAGGGGGTTCCTCCTTCTGCTCTTTGTGTTTCCATAATTAGAAAGTCCTTAGAAGTGTATCAGCTCTGATAACAACTTTCATATAGAGCTAACTACATGCCAGGCACTGTTGCAAGCACTTCATATACAGTAACTGATTTAATCCTCTCAACATCCTTATAAGCTGGATCCTATTAGTAGCCTTCCCATTTTACAGAAGAGGACACTGAGGCTTAGGAAGGAGAAATAAGTTCTTCAAGGTCACACAGCTAAAAAGTAGCAAAGCCAGGTTTTCTGGCCTTAACTCCTATAGGTGCAAGTAGGTGGCTGGATAGACAGATACGAGATGATCCATAAGGAGGAATGGAGCAATAGAGAGTCAGCGTAAGGAAGGTATCTGCAGGCTAGAGAGGACAGGGGTCAATTTCTTTACACTTTTGTTCTATTAGAATTCAACATATTTGTTACTTTATCTACGTAAATATATACATAAATATATATGATTTTTATAGCATTATACATCTTTGTGCTTGCTTTAAAGTATAAATACATTAATATTCACATACAGCCAGTTTTCTACCAAGTGTGAGCATCTCTTAGGGTACAGCTATAACACAGATTAAGTAAATCCTAGGCATTGCTCCCCTGTTCCCCAAAAAGTCTTTTCCCAAACTTCACTAGCTGTAGGGCTTTGGGAAAACCACATAAACTCTCTGTAGCTTAGATTTCTTGTCTGGACCTACCCCATAGGGTAAAGCCACTAGTAATTATAATCATCATCATAAGAGCTACTACCAACTGAACACCTCACGTGTCTGTACTATGCTGAGGACTTTCATACATCATGGCCTTTAAAAATCTATTAAAATCTAGTATATTTCTTACTTTTAAAATTAAGATATAATTGACAGGCACAACTGGGTAGCTCAGTGGTTGAGTGTCTGTCTGCCTTCGGCTCAGGGTGTGATCCCTGGGTCCTGGGATCGAGTCCCACATCAGGATCCCTACAGGGAGCCTGCTTCTCCCTCTGCCTATGTCTCTGCCTCTCTCTCTATGTCTCTCATGAATAAATAGATAAAATCTTTTAAAAAAGGATATAAGTGACGTATAACATTATATTAGTTTCAGGTAGACAACTTAACGATTCAATACGTGTATTGCAAAATGATCACCACAGTGTGTCTAGGTAACATCCATCCATACGTGGAAGACTGTATGTAGTCACCATACATAGTTACAAATTTTTCTTTTCTTGTGATGAAAACTTTTAAGATCTACTCTCTTAGCAAACTTTCAGTGCAATGCAGTATTATTAGCTATAGTCATCATGCTCTAAATTACATCCCCAGGACTTTATTTTATAACTGGAAGTTACAAAAGTTATAAAGGTTTACCCAATTTGCCCACTCCTTACCACTGCCTCTGGTACCACCAGAGGCAGAACCACCAATCTGTTCTCTGTTTCTGAGAGTTTGGTTTGTTTTTGCTTTTAGATTCTACATATAAATAAGATCATATGGTATTTGTCTTTCTCTGGTTTATCTCACTTAGCATAATGCCCTCAGAGTTCATCCATGTTGTTTCAAATAGAAGATTTTCCTTCTCTTTTATGGCTGAATAATACTCCAGTGTATCTATATACTGCATTTTCTTCATCCATGTATCCATCTGTTTTTTCAAGTTGGTGTTTTTGTTTTCTGTGGATAAATAAATACCCAGAAGTGGAATTGCTGGATCATATGGTATTTCTATTTTTAACGTTTTGAGCAACCTCCATACTGCGTTCCACAGTGGCTGTACCAATTTACATTCCCACCAACAGGGTACCAGGGTTCCCTCTTCTCTATATCTATACTCATTATATCTTGTTATTTCTTGTTGGGTTTTTTTGGTTTTTTGGTTTGGGGGGAGTGGTTTTGACAGGAGCTGTTCTGACAGGTGTAAGGTGATACCTCATTGTGGTTTTGATTTGTATCTCCCTGAGGATTAGAGATGTTGAGCACCTTTTCATGTATCTGTTGGCCATCTGTAGGTCTTCTTACACGCATTATCTTTTAATCTTCCCATATCAACTGAGGTATACAGAGGTTATGTAACCTGCCTCAGGTCACACAGACAAGAGGTGATGGAACTGGGTGGTAGGAGTGCCTCGGGGGCAAGAGCCGATCCTCACTGCTTAATCCAGTCAAGACTTGCCACTAACCAGTGAAGAAGAAAGGTTTGATTGGTCAATATGTGTGAGCAAAGAGATGAGCTTGAGCTGTGGTCCCGGAAGGAATTCTTTCTCCCCCCAAATTAAGTCCATGCATGAATGTGTTATTCAGCTCAGGCTACCAGAACAGAACTGGGTGGCTGAAACAACAGAAATTTATTTCCTCACAGCTCTGGAGGCAAGAAGCCCAAGACAAAGGTGCTGTCAAGGCTGGTTTCTGGTAAAGCATCTCCTCTCAGCTTGTAGAAAGCTGTCTTCTCTCTATGTCCTCACACGACCTTTCCTCTGTGTACATTCAGAGAGAGAGAGAGAGAGACAGACAGACAGCTGGCATCTCTTTTCTTCATGGAGAGATACCAGTCCTGTCAGATTAGGGTCCTACCCTAATTACTCAATTTAATCTCAATTACTTCCTAAATACCGGTCTCCAAATACTATCAAACTGGAGGTCAGGGCATTAGCATATGGATTTGAGGGGAGGGGAACACAATTCAATCCATAATAATGAGCTTTGAAGAGTTCTGGGAACCCTTAAAAATTGTGTACAGCATCTTTGTATGGATGGGAGTCCACATCCACCCAAAAGATAAGAACCTCTAAAAGTATCGTAAGTGGACAAAAAAGGAAAGGATTTGTGAACAAATGGAAATGGCAGTTGTCTTGAGGTAGAAGATAGAGGAATTTCTTAAGATAATATTTTAATTATTAGAAAGCGGAAAACCAGAGGGGGAGTGGAAAATAAGGATATGGTGTGTCAGTAGTTAGACGTCCTGCCCAAGGCCACAGCATGGGGAGTGGGTCTGAGCTAGAACTTGGTATCCTGAGCCCCAGCCCATGCTCTTCCCACCAGCTTGCCGTCTGTGCTGCCCCACGGAAGCCAAACCATCTGAGCGAGCCTCCTGGCTGCCTTCCTGCTCACTCCACAGATGCTCTTTCCCATGTTTTCCTTTTAGAAGTGGAACAGATCGAAGCCATCGCCAAGTTTGACTATGTGGGGCGGTCCCCGCGTGAGCTGTCCTTCAAGAAAGGAGCCTCGCTGCTACTGTACCATCGCGCCTCAGAGGACTGGTGGGAGGGCCGTCACAACGGCGTGGACGGACTCATCCCTCATCAGTACATAGTTGTACAGGACATGTGAGTGGGAATCAAGACCTTCTTTGAAGAATGTCGTGGTTGATTAGTGATGTCTTGAATGGGCACAGGAATGGGAGTGCTGGGCTGTATGCCAACCATTTGCTCTCACTGGAATGACGCACTTGGTCTTTTTTAAGAATGGTTATATCTCACTTCCCCTTAAATGGTGATCCACTAAACAAATAAGCAAATTGCTCATCCTTTAGAGTATACAGAGACAGTGTTTGGTGCCTTTGGTTGACCATCCTGACCCACCTGACAGCCTCTAGGGCATTCATCACCTGCCCTGATTCTCAGCATCCAGTAGATCTTGCCATATTCCTCTACCTTCTTAGGCCTTCCCTATAATCAGTGACCAGTACTGCCCCCTTTACTGCCCACCATTCTTTATCTCCCAAGTGGCTCTCTCAGAGGATGCACAGAAATAGCCATCCTCTTATTTCCAGGGTACTGTTATTATTTTATTTTATTTTTTTAAAGAAAGGCCCACATCCCAAGTATCTTGCCATACTGGGAGGCCCAGAAAGTTTACATCTTCTCTTCTTTAAAAGCCATTGAAGGTTTGTACAACAGACACTCCCTCTGAGTCAGTCTCTGGTAGAACTGACTTATGGAGGAAGCAGCCACTACGCTGGACCTCAAGGAAAGGGGCAGAGGCATAAGCCTTGATGACAGAGGGAATGGTGTGAAACCACAGCAAAGTCCAAAGCCAGGCAGACAAGAGAAGTGCCAGTGGAGGACCCTTGGCAGCCCTCTGCTGTCCCCAGTATGCTGGGAGGAGGCCAGCAGGGTACCCCACCAAGCTGGAGCCACCTCACAGTTATCCAAAGCCCTAGGTCAAGAGCTGAGGGATGGAGGCACTCTTCTTCCTCCCTTGCTTAGCCTTAAATGGCTTCTCAGGGCACCACATGGAGACTCAGCTCTCAGTGCTCAGCTTGTGGGCTCCTCTGCCCATCATTCTAGCATTCCCTCCAGCATTTAGTCTCCCTGCAGCAGCCTGGGAGAGAAAAATCTAGAGGAAGGGAGAAGAGAAGGTAGGTCTGGGGCAGAGGGCAGGTGGTCTCCTGCCAGAGAAAGTAAGTTAAGAGAGAGCAAGCCGATGGGCATGTGTGTGATGCTAAGGCCTAGAGTGGGAAGTGGCTCATCCAGAGGATGGGCATAAGTTAACCATAAAGTGTGTGTGGATGCCCCCCTTCACACAGGTCTCCAGGAGCCCTACATATCCGGGGTTCTCTGGAGCAAAGCACTCCCGATTCACATCTGTCCTTCTCCCCAGGGATGATGCCTTCTCGGACAGCCTGAGCCAGAAGGCCGACAGCGAGGCCAGCAGTGGGCCGCTGCTGGATGACAAGGCCTCCTCCAAAAACGACCTCCAGTCACCCACGGAGCACATCTCGGATTACGGCTTTGGGGGGGTGATGGGCCGGTAGGAAATGCGGATTCATTTTTTCCTACTAGAGCCATACCCATCTCTGTCTGATTTGGGAGAGGCAAGAGGGCAGAGGGGAGAAAGGAGGCTGTTGTGGCCCTTTGTTCCCTCTGGGATGTGCTATTGGGCACACTGGGGGGTCTGGCTGGAACTGGCCCAAGAATGCCAGGCTTACAAGGGTCCAGCTTGGAGTTGGGGTTTGGAGAAGGAGGAGACAAGACATATATTAGCAAATCAATGCCCTTTACATAAAATAGTAGTGATAAATGGGGAGGAAGAGAGAGTTATAAATTGGCAAGTATTTTTCCTACCTCTCTCCAGTTCTTGCACCTCCTCCCTATTTTCTGTTGAAGACCTGAGTTGTTATATTTAAATTATTAAGGTTCACATACTCCCCCTGAAGTGCACTACACAAACAGAAAACTCACACCCACTCCATGTGGTGCAGGAAATTGACACTCGACTCTACCCACTTATTTGGTGGGAGCACATTTGCCAATTTCTTCCCTCTTCCATGTGTGGGCTGCACTGCGTCACCTGACCTTTCTGCCAGGCAAAGAGCTACTACACTTGTCATTCTCTACATGCCTGTTTAGTCCAAAGAATGTGGTCGTTAAAAAAATATCAAATATGAAAAAGTGAAGAATAGAGAGGCTGATAGTTTCTCACTGCTTCCTTAATCAGATTCTCACAATGTCATATTCTTCTTTTTTTTTTTTTTGGGTGGAGAGGTCATGGGATCAGCTCCCTCATATGGGTACTTGCAGATAGAACCAGAAATATAGTTGAAACAGGAACATATGTTTATGAATTTACTTTGGCAGAAGTCTCTGTGCCTCCTTTCAGTGTATTCTGTTCACTTCAGCAAAAGGCTCAGGCACTGTGATAGGTAATGGAATTGGGGGGCAAAGTGGAAGTCTGGGGTAGGTAGAAGACAAAGCCATGGTTCCTTGAATTCTATCTAGGAGGGCCATATCTTCTCCTGCCTCTCTCTTCCTCTCCCTCTTCCCTCCCTCCCCTACTTTATTCTGGTTCTTCTCTTTCTCAATATTTCCTCCTCTCCAATCCTATGCTTTGGTCCTGTTGGGGTACCCACAGGCGGTGCTTAGCTTGGCTGGTGGCTCTGGGGTCTGAAGTGCTGCTGACCACATTGAACTGGGTCCTTCAGTCATGGCCCATTCCAACACTCTGTCCCTCCTTCCTACCCCCTTGCCACTGCCAGCCTCCCCTCTACCCACCAGTGCCTTCAAATCTCTGTTGACCTCCATAGGATGTAGCAAAATTGCCTGCGGGTGGAGCCTTTTACCTCCAGAGTGCTTTTACACCCGCCAGACCTCCCTGGAAGATGGGCAAGGAATATTATGCCCATTTACCAGATTAATAAAATGGGTCTGAAAGAGGACACAGGAAAGTCTGTGACAAAGCCAGCCCTCCTGAGAGACACTCTGGTCCCTCTTTGACTCTACCAGAGCCTCCCTAAAGAGTAAAAGGTGGCCAAATGCATAAAAGGCACATTGATTGAAGCAGTTTTTTTACTCCAGAATGACTAATTTTCCAAGATCTGAAAAAGCCTCATAGAAATAGCCCTTTGCTGGAGAGATTGGGGGTGGGTGAGAACACTGGACTGTGTTCAATTCCCAGGGACCCCCTCCTGTGCTTGCAGGGAGCTGGTGACTTTTTGGTACAGTCAAGCCTCAATGCTTCAGACCAATTAAGAAGCCCTTCAGAATCATGGAAATGTCTGAACCACTTAAGAACATATCATGAGCCCAACTAACCATCCCCAAAGCGTTCCCAGGTTGAAATTCTCCTGGCCTTGACTTGACACATAGACAAGATTCATTGTGTAATTAGTGGCATCACCGTCTGCAGTTTGGAAAGCAGAATGCTTCCGATTCCTTCGTGTGCACATTACACCTGCCCCTTGCCACTGAGTTGCACGCTCAGCCAGAGCTTTCATTGTGCACTTGAGTTTGGCTGAATGAGGCTTTACTATACCTGCTCCCCAGACTAGTGTGTAGTGTGTGGCCTGGGGGTTAGCTGACCCATTCTGAGACCTGCCAGGGTTGACCTCTGCCCCATGCCCCTGCCCCCTGGCTCCTTTACAGAGTGCGATTACGATCCGATGGAGCGGCCATCCCCAGGCGCCGAAGCGGGGGTGACACCCACAGCCCACCCCGGGGCCTGGGTCCCAGCATAGACACGCCACCCCGGGCCGCCGCCTGCCCCAGCAGCCCCCACAAAATCCCTCTCACCCGGGGGAGGATCGAGAGCCCTGAGAAGCGGAGGATGGCGACATTTGGGAGTGCCGGCAGCATCAACTACCCTGACAAGAAGGCTCTCTCGGAAGGGCACTCGATGAGGTCGACATGCGGCTCCACCAGGCACAGCAGCCTGGGAGATCACAAGTCCCTGGAGGCTGAGGCCTTGGCAGAAGTAAGGGCGGGTGGGAAGGCAGGCTGGGCCAGCTGAGGACCCGGAGGGGCGGCCGGGTGGGAGCCTCTTGACCAGGGAGCCACTTGGCCCTTCACGCCAGGCTCAAGGTTAAGCTAGAACACAAGGCAGACAGCAAGCTGGCTTCCTGTCCCCCTGCTGGCCTCCCCATGGGAGCAGAGGCTGAATGGGTGCTGGCTAGGGATTCTGTTAAAGACCTCCAGTCTCCAGGGCTGGATGGGGGATATTCCTACCTGGGGGCAGGCCGGATGAGAGGGATGTGGTAATGGCAGGTGTCTCCACGAGATGGCACAGTTGAGCTATCCATTCATTCCTTCATCCATCCATTCATTCATCTGTTCATTCATTCATTCCTTTATTGACGAATATTGATTGAGCCACTGTTGTGTGCCAGTCACAGAGCTAGGCACTGACAGTGCAAGGATGACCTGAAATGGACCCAGAGCCTGCCCCCCCGCCTGCTGTCCGTCTTCTCCAAGCGCCGTTGTGCGGCCCCGCTCTGCAGATTGCTGCATCACCTCTCAGACTAATGCAAGGCTCACGCCTAAACTACTCAGCTGGTCTTTTCTCTGAGCTTTCTGTCTCTCTGGCTCACATTCTGCCAGGATAGAGTGGCGGTGGGGATGGTGGTAGAGGCGTCATCGTTACATTTATTTTTTAAAGCTTTACCTTTCAGTGCACACTGGAGCGCTGCAGGGAGAGCAGCGAAGTCCATGGGGCGGGGGAGGACTTCATTTAAGTGGCGTGGGATGTGCAAAGCCAGCGTTCTCACTGCCGGGCTGGGTTATAGCACAGATGGGGAGAGGACTGCCATCTCTCCCCTCACATAGAAGGTCCCCCACAGCTAATCCTTTGGATAGAGGCACAAAAATCCCTTCTTAAAGTAGCTAGTGTTCAGGGCAAGGGATAAAATGTCAAGAAGCATAAAAGCTACTATTAGCCAGAGACCAGACACCCATAGTCTCTTAACAAGGCAAAAGGGATAGGCTGGGACCCTGCCTTTGCCAGCCGGGAGCCTGCTGTGGGGCCTCAGGGTGGGCAGGCGGCCGCCCATGGGCTGAGGAGGAGGAGACAGGGTGAAAGAGGACAGGGCTGCGGAAACGGGCTGGCAGGACCTCTCCAGGCTCCAACTTCATCAGTGTGACCAGACTTGAAGTTTTTCCGGGTTCACCTCACAGCAGAAAAACAGATGTCATCGCGGTCATGGAGGGTTGTGCACCACGCCTACCAGCAGCGGTTTTAAGCAGTCTCCCCTGTTGTGGGATATTGTGCTCAGCCTGTGCGGCTCCCTGTGCCCCATCTGGCGTGGAGGCATCCCTGTAACGCTGGTGTGAGCCAAGGACTCAGGCTAAAGGGAGTGTGAACACTGCCCGGCAGTTTATAAAGCTCCATCACATCCATCACCTCATCCCATCTTCACAGTAAATGTAGGGGCTTTCAACAGAGAAGCAGAGCCTGGTGCAGAGGGCCCGAGACTTGTCCAACACTACACAGCCAGCAAAAGGGGTCTTTTCACTAAAAAATCCCAGTCCTTTGCCCTAGCCCAAGCCTTCCTAGTTGGAATGCTGACTTCCAGCTGCAGCGCCCCCTTCTGGCTCAAGGAGGAGCAGAAGCCCTGGGAATGTGGACCCATGAGCCCCACCCAGGCTGACAGGGGACCCTGCCCTGCTCCCGGAGACCCTGGCGGGAGGCCCTGACCGAGCCTTAACAGCCCTCCCTGTCATTCAAAGTGCTCTCATATTGATGAGCTCTAAATCTCCAGGAATTACATAGGCAGATGAGAGGTTTTGTTGCTCTTTAAAATTGATGTTTTTGAAAAACAAACTTTTCTGATTATGATACAGAGGAGAAAGTGACAGTCTGGTTATTCTGGGGTGAATATTGTGGACATTCTGATATGTAACCTCCAAGGAATGTTCTTTTTTTTTTTTTTTTTTTTTTTTTTTTTTTAATTTTTATTTATTTATGATAGTCACAGAGAGAGAGAGAGAGGGAGGCAGAGACACAGGCAGAGGGAGAAGCAGGCTCCATGCACCGGTAGCCCGATGTGGGATTTGATCCCGGGTCTCCAGGATCGCGCCCTGGGCCAAAGGCAGGCGCCAAACCGCTGCGCCACCCAGGGATCCCTCCAAGGAATGTTCTTATGGGCAAGAATTTTTTTTTTTTTTTAATGACGATAATGGTGGGGTGCCTTCCTGGCTCAGTCGGAAGAGCGTGCGGCTCTTGGTCTCGGGGTCAGGAGTTCGAGCTCCACGTTGAGTGTAGAGGTTACTTAAATAAATATTTTTTAAAAGCAACCATAATGGTTAGGGGCTTGGGTTCTGGAGACACACTATCTAGGTTGAGACTTGGGCTATGTTACTAACTAGCTGGGTGATCTTGGGCAAGTTACTTTAACCAGGCTGAGCTTCCATCTTCTTATGTGTGAAATGAGCATAATGGTGGTTCCTACCTCATAAAGTGTGAGGATTAAATGACTTACAAAAGGAAAGGGCTTGGATGGGTGCTCTATTATTACCATTGTTACTGCCATTGTTATTTGTGAGTGCTTACTGTGTATCAGGGGCCATGCCAACCTCTTCGTGGAGACTGTATCATTCAACACACTTGTCAACCCCCCTGAGGTTGCGGTTATAATGGTCTAGATTCACAGATGAGGATTCTGAGGCTCAAAGAGGTGAGGTAACTTGCCCAAAGTCACACAGCAAGAAAGTTGCAGAGCCAGAACCAGTAGTGGAACCCGCCCTCCTTGCAGTCGGCCCCCTGGGCAGGCAAGTGTGCGGGTGATGCCCACATGCATAGTGGGACATAGGACGCCCTGGAGAGTTCATCTCCCTCCCAGCCCTGAGCCCGTGTGTGGCAGTACCTCCCCAGGAAGCCCACGGGCCCATCAGCAGCCGAGCAAGGGCTGGACCCTGGGGCGCCCGGCCTCTGTGCTGACCAGAGCTCTTTCCGCCCCCAGGACATCGAGAAGACCATGAGCACGGCTCTGCACGAGTTGCGGGAACTCGAGAGACAGAACACAGTCAAGCAGGCGCCAGATGTGGTGCTGGACACCCTGGAGCCCCTGAAGAACCCGCCAGGCCCCATCAGCTCCGAGCCCGCCAGCCCCCTACACACCATCGTCATCCGCGACCCCGACGCTGCCATGCGGCGCAGCAGCAGCTCGTCCACCGAGATGATGACCACCTTCAAGCCCGCGCTGTCCGCCCGCCTGGCCGGCGCCCAGCTGCGCCCGCCCCCCATGCGGCCCGTGCGGCCGGTGGTGCAGCATCGCTCCAGCAGCAGCAGCAGCTCGGGCGTGGGCAGCCCGGCCGTCACGCCCACCGAGAAGATGTTCCCCAACAGCTCTGCGGACAAGTCGGGCACCATGTGACCCCCGGGCCGCGGCGGCGCCGCCCTGGCCGAGGGTGGCCTCCGTGACTTCCGCGCCCCCCAGTGCCCCTGGCCCGACCGGGCGGGGCCCAGGTCGCCCGGGAGCGCGGCTGTGCAGAGCCGAGGCCTGGGCGCCCCCCGCAGCTGGCTTGCAGCCGCGAGAATCCCACAGACCCCCCGTGTGTCCGCGGGCCGCGGGGGGCACAGGTGCAGGAGCAGGAGGCCCGACTGGAGCATCTCCTGAGGCTGGGGCAAAACGTTACATGGCTTCCCCGCACACGGTCACTGGAAAATGATTCCCTCGCCTTCTGTCTACATACGTGAATGTGTGTGCGCACATTCGTGTGCATATGTACACACATGCGCGTATGTACGTGTCTGTAGGTGTGTGTGTGTATATATATTTATGCATCTATATACATATACTAGATCTGGACGCACAACTAAATGTATATAGGATCTCCTTTTTCTTTTTATGAAACTTAGATTTACCTCAGACCCATGCCACCAAACACCTCCCGCTGAGTTACTTGGTGGGACTTGCAGGGACCTTTCTGGGAGAATTTAGAAGCCTCCGTGACTGCGAACGAAGCAATACACCACTAACCTGCAGAAAAACACACAAAAAATCGTCTCCCACTGTCTCCAGAAGTCGTGGCCTTCCACAACAGCCTGCCCCTAACGGAAGGGTGGGGCAGGCGGTACCCCAAGCAGGCTGCTCCTAGAGGTGGGGAACCCTTCACAGAACCCCTCTCCCTCGTCCACCCCAGAGACCCTGCCTTTCCACCCGGAGGCCGAGGGCCGACTGTACCCCCCCCCCGAGGGCACGGGAGGATGTTGGCGAGATGGCCCCTGACCACAACATCCTTGTGTTTGTACGTAGGAACAGGGGATAGTGAGAAGCTAAGCCCCATCGTAGCACAGCGTTCTGTGGGGTTGGGAAAAAGCAAAAAAAAAAAAAAAAAAAAAAACACAAACAGTGGTGTGGAACACTTCAAAACCTAGACACGCTGTAGGAATAAACCTGTGGTAACTATAGAGGTTTAACTTATGCCATTTTCAAAATATTTAATTTTTTCTCCTCTTCTTTCTACTAATTATACTGTGTCAGATCCAGAACTAAACAGGCAAGGAGGCTTTCATATCATTTTAATTTAAGATCGATCTGTGACCCACTTTGGCCGGTGCTCTCCTGCATGAAGCCCAGGAGCCTCACAGCAGGGGCCAGAGAGGGGCCATCCGTTAGCGCTTCCTGTCCCAGAAAACACTCTGGTTGAGGTTATGCAGGTGAAATGGCTTCCCTCTCTCCATCCCTTCCCTTCCCAAACCCTGCTCCCCTGCTCTCCCCCCACCACCTCCAGAGCATTTAATGGAATTGAAAATACGGTGATAGAACTGAGGTGAGTGACTTTTAAGAATTAGGAGCTAGACTTCTGCCTCTTTGCTGGGAAAAGGCCTCTGGTTCCATTTTACTTCCTCTTTTGATCTTTTCATTTTCCAGAGATAGGCTGTTTCTGGCTAATGGAACACAGGCGAAATCAGATCCTAAGGGGACCGCTTCTATTCATCCCCTCGGGCCAAGCCAAGGGTCTCTTCCTTATCGTTCTCAAGCTTTCTCTCTTTCTCCCGGGGCCTCTGAGTCTATCTCGGTGGCTGTGGTTTGGAGTCAAAAGTCCTGTGTTTGAGTCCCAGCCCCCCACCCACCCCATAGAGCTGTGGGACTTGGGGCCTGTCACTCCACCTCATTGAGCCCCAGTGTTCTGCTCCATCAGATAAAAGTAATAAAAGTAAGATGTGAGCAAGCTCTGCAAGCTGGAAAGCACTGTGCCAACACGTTTAGTATTTTTTTATCATTAGTAAGGTAAGTCTTTTAGATCAAAACCCATCCAGGACCTTCCTTTCGAAGCCTCCTAACAGCATTTGAGAATGGGGTGGTGCAGTTTTCCTGCCAGTTTCATAAGCGCCCTGAAGCACAGCCCTACAGATATATCACCTGCCGACCGACGCTTGGAATGGTGTCATGACCATTTCACCCCACTGAATTAAGTTGTACCCTCCCCCCCCCCCCGGGTCATAAAAAGGTAAATACACCCCAGGGGGAGGGGCCCATTAAGTCACCACTACCTGGGCGCGTGGAAGTGGTGACCCATTCTGTGTGGTCGGAAGGATTGGCAGTGAGCGCACTCAGTGGAAAAGTCAAGAAAGGGCACGAAAAGAATGCCAGAGAGAGGTCAGTGACAAACTTGACCTTCCTTGTTTAGCCTATAACCAACTGTTCTGTTTTAGCTCCCGGAAGCTAAAGAGCCTCAGAACCAGCTAGGAGCCCCTCTGTCTTTGAGCAGATGATGATATCGCCGTTTTACAGCTTAGGAGAGATGGCAAGGCCTTGGGATGTCCCGAGACGTGCCCCAGGTTTAATGGGTGGCTGACAGCGAGGGCCATGTCAGGCGCTTTCCTGCAAGGACGCTGTGCTGTCCAGCCAGGACACAGGCTCCTCATTTCCACCCCAGAGAAACTCCCAGACCTTAAATGCAGTAGCCTCCTGTGCAAAATGTCACATCCTCCCTCTGCCATGAATACCAGAGGAAAAGCGAAAATCTGAGTTGACCAATCTGTTGCCTGATATCTACAGCACCAGTCAGACCATGTGGGTTTTTCCTATGAATTGACTGCATTTTTTTCCTTACTGCAAATGGATCTGCCCTTAACCAAATTACCTGAAGGCAGAGCCTTAGCTGTTTTCTTTCAGCACCTATTTTTCCATTGGGAAACGGCTGATGAGTTCACATTTAGGGAAGCTCACACCCCACTCATCCAGGCCCAGATCTGACCCTTGACGCAGAACCAAATGGAAAAATACTTCCCTGCACCCTCCCTCTGCCCCCGCCCCCTTCCTCATCTGGCACTCTGCATGTCTCTGCCACCCTCCACGCGCACCCCGTCCCATCCACGGTCACTGAGCATTGGCATTCTCTTCCTGACTCCTGCCTGTGTTAGTACACTATATATTGCTGTATTTGCTTAAATGCTGGAAAGTAACTGTTAAAATGTGAAACTGTAATTTTTAAAAAGGCTACGATTAAATTATAGCCAATGCCACTCACCAAATCTTTGCACCTAGTAGATAGATCAATGTAAAAAAAAAAAAACAAATACCAGAAACCTAACTGTACAGTGAGTGTGGGGGAAACGTAGTAACCTAGTTAGTAGTCCTCAATATAACCAATTGTACAAGGGGGAGTGGTGTTTACCTACTTGTTCATCGCCATTACTGAGAGCTGTACTGATCAGTTCGTTGATAACGGGCATTTTTTTTTTCCCTTCACAGAATGATTTCTTTTCTTAACCTTCGACTTACCCTGAGGTCAAGCCTTTTGTCTTTATGTGTAACCGATGTTTAGTCTATTTTAGGAATGAACCAGCAAGATGTTCATTTAAAACTGACCAAAGACAATTCATTCCTGGTCTAGTTTCCTGGGCCTTGGGGCCCAGCCGCCGCTAAAGACCTTTCTCCGATAAAATTGAGAACAAGCCGTGCTTCCTACCCCGCTCTCCCCTCTCTCCCTTTACTCCCCTTTCCTCTTAAAAGAGCTGCTCTGAGCTGTGGGATTCTATGAAAAATTCTTGCCTTTCCTTGTTTTCAGTGCTAACGATTTCTCACCTTGAAGCGCCTTTTGAACCCCGGACAGAGCGCGCAACTGGAGGGAATTGTAAGCTTGGGAATTAGCCTTGGGAGTCTTTTCTCTGAGGTCACCAGGCCAAGGGGCAGGAGAGAAGTGGATTCCCAAGGGATGAAAGGTCTCTATTCAACGAAGAAATCCGAGTGGGAAGAGACCCAGGGAAATGGAGCCATCGTTTGGCTACCGGCTGGAACCAGCAGTTCAGAGATCTGCCTTATAAACACTTCAGAACTGGTTTGTGGTACACAAAGGGGAGCCCACGCTGGGAAGGGCCTTTCCGTGGGCCTTGCTTCCCCGTTGGAGTCCCTTGGAGTGCCTTGTTGGGTTTATTTCTTTCTCATTCAGGAGGCCCGAACGCAGAGGACTTCCTGTGGCCTGGTGGCTACTTGGCGCTCAGCACACGTACCCGGCTGGTGGAAAATCACAGGACTAATGTGATGGTTCTTCCTCTCAGTCTTTCTATTCCTAACTTTTCACACATCCAGATGGTTCCACACTAGAGCAAATGCCTCATCCTCCTGAGAATCCCAGAAAGAAGACTGGCCGGCTCACAACCCTGGCGGGGCAGGGGGGCCCTGTCGGGCTCGGGAGGACAAGGCAGGAAGGGGGGAGCGAGGTGTTGCTTAGCCGATTTTCTGCTATGCAGAGCTAATGCTGACGTTTCATGTCAACTTCCCCGGTTCTCTGGGGCCTCCTGTCTTCGGAGCAGCCATGTAGAGAATTCCCCACATCCCAGAGCTGCCCGGGGGAGCCGAGAGAAGGGACTTCGCCGTCGTGTCGGACTCCTCCTGGCTGCTCTGAGGTCGACCCGCCAGCGTCCCGCTGTCCCACCCTCTGGGACGGGCCGAACGGCCACCGCTGCCCCTTTGCCGACACCTCCTCTCTGTGCGAACTGTCCCAGGCAAATAACAAAGCTGTTCCTTGAACCAGAGCAACCAGAGTGCACTTTGCCTTCCTTAGACGGAAGGAGATTCTGGCTAGAGTTTCTGCTCAGACTCTAGTTCCCGGCAGTGTGACTGTTTACACGGTTTGGCAATAGGTTTGGTTCTGATTGCTTCAGAGTGGCTGGTCAATTTAGTTTCCTTTGGTTTCCTTCCTCCCCAAACTGTGTCAGGAAAAAACAAACCGAAACAACCCTAGGAAATTGCTGGTTGCCTGTCCCCACGTGATGATAAGTGTCGCCCTCTTCCGGATATCGTTTCTCTACCTTACAACCAAACGCCCGTCCTATAGAGTGTCTGATTGGATCCTCTGTTGCGTATTCTGATGGTGCCTGCTGGTTTGACGTGGAGCTATCCTGTGAAATAAAACAGCTTAACTTTTCTCAGACGTGATCCTGTGGCTTTTTGGAAGGGTGAGGGGGCCCGAGGGGGAGCGGCCGGGAAGGGCCCAGAGGGGTGTTTCTACTGGCCAGTCCACACTGGCTGTGTGCTACCTCCAGGAACCGCCCCTGAAGTATCCTTTAGCTCACATCCAACAGGGTGAAGGCCAAGGTTCCGAGGAGGACTGCTTCAACTGTCCAGCGAATGGAAAAAGGTAACTGTGGGGGCGCCTGCGTGGCTCGGTGGTTGAGCATCTCCCTTAGGCTCAGGTCGTGATCCCGGGGTCCTAGGATCGAGTCCCACATCGGGCTCTCTGCTCAGGGAGGAGCCTGTTTCTCCCTCTCCTCCCTGCTTCTGCCCCATTCGTGCTCTCTCTCTCTCTCTGCTCTCTCAAATAAATCTTAAAAAAAATAAAATAAAGATAATTGTGGGATGCCCTCTGGGAAGGCAGAAACTGGAAATGTGAAAGCAAGGGCAGATGGGAGAAGGAGCTGGCATCTGCGATAGTGCCTTCAAAAGTTTAAGACAGATTACCAGAGGCCGCAGGATACCGAGTTCCATGTGAAGGCATCTGCAGCATTTCAGCATTTGTGTTTTCACACATGTGATGCTGTCCCTTGGATTTTTTTTTTTTTTTACCTATGTTGGGGTGTGTGTATGTGAAATGTGTACTGATCACTTCTTTCTGTCCCAGGCACTAGATTAAAGCCCTTTACATTGCATTTTCTCATCAAATTCTCAAAATAGTTACTGAAGGTAAGTACCCTTCTCAAATCCCATTCTGCAGGTGGGGAAATTGAGGCTCTAGGAGGTTAGGTGGCCCACCCAAGGTTGGGCTGGGAAGTGAAGGAGCCCAACCTGACTCCAAAACTATGTCATTGAGCATGCCCATTACACCGGCACCAGCAGTAGGATCCCACGATGAAGGCAGCTTGTGGCCTGTTGCAGTCCAAGACTCCGGGCCTTTC